GAAATAGCCAAGATGAAATGGGGAATAAGAATTTGTGCCTAGAAATGTTAATTCCTTCCTATGAGCAAAACCTTCATAGTCTTAATTTTCTTTTTCTTTTCTCCTCCAACCTTCCTTTTCCTTTCTCTTCTTTCCCTATTGTCTGATTTCCTTAGTCTCCTCCTACTTCCTTAGAGTGCTCTGTCTATGACAGCTTCTCAGTTTTTTCTTGTCCTTCATGATCGTCAGACTTTTAAATAATACTTGCCAAATATTTTGTAGAAAGTCTTGTCAATCTGATGTTTTCTAATGAAAATATTGAGGATATAAAATTGGGGGGAAGGATATCATGGTGGTGACATGTCCTTCTCATCATATTACTGTAGAGCACACCGTATCTACATGGCTTGTTACTGTTGATGTTTAACCTTGGTCCTGGTTAAAGTGATATCTCTCATGCTTTTTTTTTTTTTTTTTTTTTTTTTTTTTTTTTTTTGGTACCAAGGATTGAACTCAGGACCTTGTGCTTGTCAGGCAGGCGTGGCAGCACTGAGCTAAATCCCCAGTCCTTTTCATGCTTTTCTACTGTAAAATTTTCTTTCTTTCTTTATATACTGTTAGATTTGTGTCATTGGTTTTGTTTGTTTGTTTTGAGCCAGGGTATCTCTAAGCAGTGCAAACTGTCCTTAACTCACTATGTAGCCTAGGCTGGCCTCAAACTCACAGTGATCTTCCTGCCTCAGTCTCCTGAATGCTGGGACTACAAGTGTGTCCCACCATGCTTGGCCTGAGTCATTGTTTTTAACTCAAGAGTATAAAAGCTATTTATTTAGTTTCCAAATTTATGGGACTCTTGAAAATAATCTTTAACATTTTTTTTGAATTGTGATGTATAAGACTAAAGTACATAATTTGCATACTACTGATATTTTGGAATCTAGAAGTTTCTTTGTGACTTGATTCATGATCTATTTCTTTGAATATTTCAAGTGTGCATGAAAAGTATCTTGGTTTCTCTGTGGTTTAAATCCCACATCCATGAAACAGGAAGAACCAAAGATATCCAACTCATTTATTTTTTTGAAGGTTGCAAAAACCAAAGATCAAATTAAAAAGAGAAAAATACTACACTTATTCTTTTTGACTCTTGTTTTTGCCAACTCACAATGGATATAACTGATACAAGGAAACAAAACAGGGGGAGGGAAAAAAACCAGTGAAAATATCTGTCCTTTCTGAAAATGGACTGTCTTACCACAGGGTAACAGGTGCTTAATCCTCTGTGGGGGCACAATTCCAGCCTACAGAGAGGGACTTGGCCAGAGCTGAGGGACAGTAACCACCTGTGGTAGTGATTCTGATCTGTGTTTGGTTCCTTGAAGTTCATTCCACTGCCCTTGGTATTTATAGCAATAAAACTGGACCTTTCTTTGGTGTGCTGCTGAGAAGTTTGTGGGGTGGTGGTCCCCAACAGTTGTCTGTCAGCCAGAGGGTCTGGCTATTTAGAAGCTGGCAAAGATGCTCATCTACATTTGACACAGGAAGAGGGATATCACAGTCAAAGACTTCGTCTTACGGATTTCACTTAGATCTTTAATGGTCAGCCCCTCAGATTGTATATCATAAGGATGCCCTACGCCTCAACTAAGGCCCTAATTTTCCTTGTGCTGTGTCCTGTCCTCTTTCCTTCCCTTCTGTAAATAGTCCTAGGCCTTACTGCTGGCTCCCAACCTTCTGGGCTTGACCAACAGTGTTTGCCTTCTAGCTCCAAGGAGATCTTAAGTTTTTCCGGACACCATGAATTACCAAGAAGTGATTTATACTGTTTATGGGCATGTATTGGGCTATTTGTTTCAACATTTTTTATGTTTGAACATTGTCAAAATGTACAGTTAGAAAGTATACATGTTTTTCTCCTCCAAAAAGTTCATAATGCTCAGTGGTCATACAAGAAGTGCATATTTTATCTAGATAAAGACTGAGAATGTTGCCTGCACATCCTTTTCACATAGATAAAAGGACAGCAATTCTAAAGCCAAAGTGGATGAAGAAGAGCGGGTTTGTGGAACTCAAGAATATCAGTAGTTGGAGAAGATAACAGGATGATTTGTCAACAATACATTGGCTGTCATTAGAACAACAGGCTCTTAACTAATAGGGTATGTAATGTACTAGAAAAAGCATGAAATCAGTGACATGTGGTTAGAATTCAGGTTTCACTCTCTATGGGCTATGAGATTTTGGCCGACACAAATAACTATTTACACAGTTGCTACATACATAAATACATTGTTAAAGATAACAATACCTGCAGAATATGTAAAAATATCGCCACTACTCAAGTGTAAAGGGGTATGTTGCATAGTAACAGTATAAATGGATACAATTATCCAAAGGTTTCAGGTGGGAGGTTTAGAACTGCTCTCCAGTAATTTGCATACACAGATACTTTCATCTTCTACCAGAGGTATTGGTTGTGAAAATCTTTGGAAATGATCTTTGAGGTTTTTATTATTGTCAGCGAATTTTTAACAGGCATATGACTTTCTGTATATATCTTCCAATTAATTTTAAAATGAATTGAGTGATTTTGTTGATCACCTCATTTTATAGGGGAATTTGAAGATGAACACTGAGCTTGATATTCTTGGAGCTCTATATTTGGGTGATGCATTTTGTGTTGCTTTCAGTAAAACTCTTGATAGACACAGTAGACAAACTCTCAGTATCAGTCCCTCCCCTTTTTGGTTCAGCTTTTGGTGTTTCAGAAGCTGACATAGACACCCCCCCCATCCCTGCTGCCGCCATTCTGTGTGTGAAGTTTTTCTCACAAAATACTTGCAGCAGTATAAGGTTTGCAGGTGCCACCTCCATGCTGCTGGCAAATACACACAATCATGGGTATGATTTCTGTGCAGCAGTGCCTCAGTGTGCAGTTAATTGCTGTGCCAGTGTTGGGAAAAGCTGTGGAATGGCAGTTTTCAGACTCCACTGAGTAGTGGCCAAGAGTCTGGTTCGGCCCTGTTGTCTAGGAAGTCATCCTTTCGTGCTAAGCCTTTCTTCAGCCCTTACAGTGATACCAAGTATCTTCATTTTCCCATGACAAATCCTTGTGTTTAGAGCCAACTAGCTGATTGCTGCAAAAAATCCTGACTGACTTGTAAATTCTTGCTGGCAAAAACCCTGTTGATGTAAAGAAATGACTTTGCAGTTGGGTGTGGTGGCACACGCCTGTAATCCCAGCACTCGGAAGGCTGAGGCAGGAGGATCGCTGTGAGTTCGAGACCAGTCTGGGCTACATAGTGAGTTCCAGGTCAGTCTCAACTACATAGTGAGACTCTGTCTCAAAAAAACCAAAAAACAAGAAATGACTTTGCATTTTAGTGGTAGGAAATGGATAATTGCAAATGAGTAAGGTAAAAGTTTTAGTAAGATACTGCTAGGTACAAATAAAGGGAATGGAGAAAGAGAGAATGTTGCCACTTTAAATATCGTAGTGAAGAATGGTTTCACTTCTAGAGTGCCTTCTGACCTGCTTATCTATTATATCAATCGAATGGGAGACTTTAGTGCAGTTACTGTGTTAAAATGCAGCTGATCCATTCACCCTGTTACTACTTCCACCTCCAGGCAATTGTATTGTTTACCCACAACAAATATGGCAGAAGAAAAGCTTCAGTATGACCCCTGGACCCTTAATAAAGATGGCTACAGCACTTCCTGTGCTTGCCCTTAACAAAGATGGCAGCCGTACTTCCTGTTTAGGCTTTTCGCCTTCAACAAAGATGGTGCTTATGGTTCAGATTCCCTCACAGTCTGGATTCCGGTTGTAGTTTTTTTTTTTAAAGATACGTGGTTGCAGACGTAAGTAACAGGAGTCCATCTTTTCTTGAAAGCCCCTTGCTGTGGCTCTCTCGCTCCCCTAATTTTCTGGAGTTTCTGAGCCGGGCCAGGGTTGGGGTGGCGGTGCTGGGGGTCGTTCTCCCCTTGGTCAGCTATGAATCTCATTCCGCGGATCAAGCAGCCCCGAAAATCTCTAGTACTTCTTCCTCTTTATGGCACATCAGAGTTCGCAGTTGCTGAGGCAGGGAATTTTTTTAAAGTTTCAAATGGGTGCTGGTATCCAGATATGGACACCCTCCCCCTCATCTGCACCTCCGGACTTTACAGGGCTGTGAGGAAGGATGAGAGATCAGGTGTCGCCTGACCTGTGGGTGTCTCAGCTCCATCTGTCACCTCTCCTTCCTGCCCTGCCACTTATCCTTGGTTAACACCATACAACGCCCCAGAGCCCACTAGAGACCTTCACATCTTTCGTGGCTACTGACCAGGGCTGTGGTGTGGGTTTTTTTTTAAGGATAAAAACCTAATTAAATGTCTCATGCATGTGTGACCACACCAGCCTTGTGATGGAGATCCCAAATTGATCTGTGACTGTATAAAAGATTTATTGTAGAATGGACACAACAAATATTTTTCCTGGAAGTGATGAAGAGGCCTTTTCCCACAGTAGGAAAATATTTTTAGATATACATTGATACCTCTGCTTTCTGTCTTCCTCTACTCCTATTATGGTTTGGTTCTGCAGACATCTGTGACTGTAACAACAGTTTGTGCAGCTATGGTGGTAGGTGTCTCTGATGAAGGTGATATTAAAATAGTCATTATTTTTTTCTATCAGGGTAAAATGGAGTACTGCTCTGTACCCTCAGCTACAAATTACTTTTTAAAGCAAAGTCTCTGACCACCTTTTTAGTCAGCTCTTTATCGAATTAGGACGTTAGCTGGAACATGATGGTATGAAAAGAAGAAACAAACACTGATTCGTCTTCATTTTGTTGAGAAGCATTTGAAATTCACTTGGCTTGGCTTAACTGCCAGGTAGTAAACACCCGTGGCCTGGCACTCTGCTAAGGTTCAAAGATCTGCCTGACCTTGAGGTGCTCATAGGGCAGCAACCCTATCTTCAGGGACACAGCAGTACTCCTATAATCTGAGCTGTGATTTTTGTCTCTTTGCAGGGAGAAATGGAGGCCAGAGACAAACAAGTGCTCCGTTCCCTTCGCCTGGAGCTAGGTGCAGAAGTGCTGGTGGAGGGATTGGTTCTTCAGTACCTTTACCAGGAAGGAATCTTAACAGAAAACCATGTTCAAGAAATCAAAGCTCAAACCACCGGCCTCCGGAAAACAATGTTGCTGCTGGATATCCTGCCTTCCAGGGGTCCTAAAGCATTCGATGCTTTTCTAGATTCTCTACAAGAATTTCCCTGGGTGAGGGAGAAGCTGGAGAAGGCAAGGGAAGAAGCCATCACTGAGCTGCCTAAAGGTAGGCTGCAGAAAGAGCAAATCGCTTTAACATTGTTGGAACTGTGCCCTTTGGATTGAAAGTTGAGGTTTTAGGCTGAGCAAGTGTCAGCAGTTCATGAACGTGGGTAAGGAGCATGGACAGAAGGGACGTATGGTTGGAGGGACAGGCTGAGGAGGTGGCGTTAGGAAATGCAGGGAAGGAAGGAAGAAAAAACCCTGACTGAGAGGTTGAAGAGGGAGCTCGGAGTACATTTAGAAATGCTTCCAGGGAAAATTGGCAAGGCATTTCGGAGGCATGTTCTCAGCAGAGAACCAGGTCGTATCTCAGCCCTTGGCATGAGGGGCCATTTGGGAAGTGTAGATGGGAAAGCAGGCTTTGGCTTACTGATAACTGATTCGTGGGGTGCCAGAGCTGCCAGCTGGGAAAGGTCGGATTCATGGAGGAGGAGGAAGCCTCTAGGAAAATGTGCCCTGCACCTGTCCCTGGCCTGGCCTACGTGGCCAGCGGGGATTATTTTGAAGACTAGCTCAGTTTGTTTTGAAATGCTATTGGTTTAGAGTGTTTTTTTTAGTTTGGCTTTGTTCAGACACCTGGAGTATGTAACTTTGTAAGAGCAATAGCTCGGGAAGATTCTCATTTTGATTTTAAGGAGAGTTGGAAACTGTATGGAAAAGAGAGACAGTTCTGGTCTGGTTCTGTTTGCTTGGCTTGTGTCAGGAAGATGTGGTATGAAACACCTGTCCTAACACTCACTGTGACTTCTGCTCTTTTGAAAATATTGAAGTTCAGAGCCCTGAACTAGCAAAAAATTTAGAAAGGTGACAACTGAAAGTTGACTTGCAAATTTTTAACATAAAACTAAGAAATGTATCTGAAGTAATTAAAATGGTACTACGCTTCTGTGAACGATGTATAACATACTATTTCCATCACCCAATATGATTGTATAATTAAGGTGTGTGAGTATGGGTGGTGGTGGCACTGAACCCAGAGCCTCTGCCCTGAGCTCTCTCCCCTGTTCTCTTTTTATTTATTTTGAGACAGAGTCTTACTAGGTTGCTGATTTGCCCATACTGAATTTGAATTTGGATCCTCCTAACCTCTGAATGTTGGGATCTCAGGCATGCGGTACCACGCCCAGATTAAATTATTTTGATAGTGACAGGCTTTTAGTTTGGTTGTTCTGCTGTCCTCAACCATGTGTTGTTGCCAGGAGGACCTCAAAGTCAAATACTAAGAAAACACCAGCAAATTTTTAACCTCTCTCCAGTCCTGCGTTATATATTTTGCTTTTAATAAGGTGCTACAAAAGTCTTACATATGTTAGCATGGTTTTGTTCGGACATGTGGAGTGTTTGACTTTATAAGGACAATCCAAACTGAGTTAACAGAGTTTCTTAGCAGAGTTAAAAAATCAGCATTCTGTGGAGTTTCTGATGAAGTGATAGTTAGAACTACTTTACGTAGTTCACTTTTAGGTTTTCTTATATCTGTTTTTATTTTTTTGAATAGATGATTAAAAGGCAGAACAAAAAACCAAAAACCCCAAAAAAACTCCCCCAAGAAAACCACCAAGAAAAAACAAAACAAAACAAAAAAAAACCCAAATGGTCCTAATAAGAGATGGCTTTTGTTAGTTTTATTTCGTAGAACTCATATTTTGAATGATTTTTCAAACCACATATATTAAGCAATTTTAATTAATTCTTTTTCTATTAAATCTCAGTATCTGATCAGCATGAGATAACCAATTCACTCAGGAAGACCTGGTGAAACCTGAGTGGAAAAAGCAAAAATGTTTTTATTCTTAGCTTGGCCAGATTACATGTAAATGTATGGCTCAGGTTTTCTGAAATACTGAAAAGATCCAACCCTTCAGGAGCACTAGAATTTTCAGCTTGGATTGCCATTATGAAATTAAATATTCCCAAGGCCCGAAGAAAGCCAAACTAAATTATTTAAGCTGCTATACTTTATTGAAAGCAGAACTGGGGAGAGGTTAAAAATTTATTGGTACTTTCTTGGTATTTAACTTAGTTGTTCCTGCTGCCAACACATAGTTGGGAGCAACGAAACAGTAAAACTAAAAGCCTGTCACTGTCACTATACGTTATTTAATTATACGATGATTTTTGGGTAATGTAAATAACACCCTTGTGTGTCACTTGTAAAAGTGTGGCCTCGTGTTCAGATTCATTTAGAAAGTAGGAAAAAATTAAAACTTTTTTTTTGCCAAATGGCAAAAGCTACAGAGAAGCCAAGGGAAAAAATAAAAAAAACCTTTTTATTAATATATATTTGCAGTACGTAATGAATGTGTTCATTGTGGGGTATCGGTGCTTGTATTTGGTATGTATCACAAACATATACTAATAAAAAAGCAAATAGAACGAAGCTGTACATAGTGTGGAAAATTAAGCATATCTGTTTAGAAAAATAAGGTTTTTCCCAGGACTTGTTAATTCTGAAGAAAGGATCAGTGGAAAGATAAGTTGGCTCTGGAACAAATGAAGTTACTTTTGTTTTACTTTTTATTGAGTAACACTGCTATTGAAAAAAATATTCTGAAGCAGAGGTTTGATTTACATATATTTCTATACATCTTCCAGGATGACAGTTCAATGACTCATTTGAAATGTTGCTCTTATTAAATACGACTTTGAATAATCTTACAAAATATAAATAAGGTGTGGAGAGTAAACAGCCAACGCCTGTGTGCTCACTGCTCAGATTAGGAAATATACTAATACTGTTAGTGTTGCCTTTCCAAATCCTTTCATGCCCAGCCCTTACTGATAAATTCTGAATCTGGGATTTATCATTCTGCTCTTTGTCACTGTGTTTTTCTTTTTCATAAAAAACACTGCTGAAATCCACACATATTAGGCTGAGGATGTAGCTCATTGCTAGGGGCTTGCCTACTTCGTACAAGGCTCTGGGTCGCATCCCCAGAATTGAAAAACCAAAATGTGTAGGAGGTCAGGGATGAAAGAAATGATATATTTAAAGGTCTCGATAATTAATAGCCTTGTCTTGTTTCAGACCTTGAAATATTTTTAAGTGTTGAAAGTAATTAATTTTGTAGCAATATTTTAATTCAAAAATTGGGATTTAATGAGTTGGAAACCTAGGTGGTTTTTTGTTGCTGTTGAAATTCCAGACAAGTATCAGAGTTGAAATGCCTACCAATTTAGTATTCCTGGAAGAAAGCAAACAAGCCTGGTTGTCTGTTTCTCAGGACTCCCGTACTTTTCCAGCATTGTAGTACTTTGAATAAACTTCACAATAGTCCACTTACAATTTTTTAAGGGCATCTTGGAGTTCGGAGGGACGGATGGAAGTGGTTTCATATGCCTGGATGTGTGTATGTTAACCTCTTCCCTCTTGCTCATTTTGGTTATAATCATTATTTGTGTGAATTTGGTGGCCTTCTCCTGGGAAGCCTTGAGAGCAACTGGAAGGGGCAGCCTTCTCTTTAGCTAAGAGTTCAATCATTCTCCAAGAAGGAACTGATTTTAATTTATTAAAGTTTTCTTGTTTTGTTCTTTCTTGCAGATTCTTGGTTTTTCCCTTTGTTTATTTGTTTAATTTTTTGTGTTTTATTTGCAAAATCTGAGCTGCCTCGGAGGTTTTATTTGGGTGATCCTAGTTAATTGCTTTTTATTTCTAGGCTGGATATAATTTTTTAGAGAATTGAGCTCTACTCTTCTAAACCCTACCTCCAGCAAATCCTAAGATATTAAAAAAAAAGAAAAGGAACTAAACCCTTTGACTCTCAGAATCTGCCTGGGTCTGCAAATCTTGGTTTAAAGCAAAAAAGGTCTAAGATGTAAATAGATAATTGGTTTGTTTTTTCTCACCCTATAAGGGCCATTTTGAAGAGGAATTCTGACGATAAAATGACTTAATCCCCCTTGGCACCGTGGAAGGAACACTTCACGGCGCGTCCCTTACTGGCCAAGGTCACATACTAGACGTTAGATCAGCTGGAAATCCGCCCGGCTCCTGTCGGGTCATTTCAGGGGATGAGCACGGTGCTGGATGTGGGTGAAGGCCGCCTACTCTCCTGCCTGGCTTCCCCTCCGCTGCCCTGTCTGCCCTGACAGCTCCCTCTGTGCCAAAGCCCATCTGCCCCTGGAAGGGGCTTTACTGGCAGTCCTGGCCTCACTGCCTGGAGAGACTGTCTAAGCCGTGGTGGGCCAGCTGCTGGGCCACAGGACTCCCTTTTCTACTGTGCTGGGCCTGGATATCTGCGTGATTCTCATGTAATAGTGTGCCTGGTAACTGCCTTTTACCCTGGTCTCCCTTAGTGCGGGAGTGTGTTTTTGAGTTTTCACTCTTTTCTTGGCTAGATTCCTGCTTTCTGTATTCTTAGCCACTGGCAAGGTGAAGGACCACAGCTCAGTGCTCCCGTGTGGGTATCAGATCTTCACCTCATGCCCCATGCCTGTGTGGCTGTCTCCAGGCTGCCACCTGTGTCAGCCTTACCCGACCTTCTGCGAGTCCTCCCCATGGACCCTCTGGCCTGTACTGCCTGGCTGTCCTCGCTGGCACAGGACACAGGGCTGGCTGGTGTGGGTTCCCTCTGCCCTAGGCCCTGGGGCTCAAGCTGTCCCCTGTGGGGCCGGCCTCGGATGACCTTGCTGAGCCACTACACCCACCTCCAGAGATACAGGCTGGCCCTGAGGTGTCAATAAACTCTGATGACAGACACACTAGACAGTGTAATAGGTTTATTTGAGGTATTTTTAGTTTGGGATTCTTCTCATGGGATCCGCCCAGCCCTACGTGTCACTGGGCCGGCTCTACCATGAGAAGCTCAGTGTTGATCTCAGTTTCTGTGGCCTGTGGTCCATCCAGGCATTTCTCTGTGGCTGAGCCCCACTTGTCTTTGGCATCCTGGGTATTAAGAGAGAGCAAGGGGTCACTATTCGAAAAAAGCCCCCTCCCTCTAGTGGTGGTGGAGTGTGCAGGAGCCCAGATTCCTGTAGATCCCCTCCCTGATTATTGTACACTTC